CAACTTAGAATAGTGAAATTGAGTGCACAATGTGTTACTAAAAATATTGTAACAAGTGTCAATGAAGGGCGGTAAGCTGGCACTCGAATAGAAAGAAAATTTAATTAAAGGGAAATAGCCATTAAAATATATTACAACTTTTCGTGCCTTAGTTACTTCCCATGGCAACATACATTAAGAATGGGATTATTGAACTGAGCCATCAACATTATCTAATTGCTGCAATTAATTATTTGTTTTGTTGAAGGTTATCACTATATAATACAGAGGAAATATTTTCATTCTGTTTAGAGTAAATGAATAGGCATACTTTGTATGTATGGATAATATGATTTGATCCTACTTTTTATACCTGCTTCATCATACTTTGTTTGATTTTTATTTCATTAAGGACGAATGAGAAAAGAACTGACATATCCTCCCTCTCCCAGTGGCGGAACTAGAAAAAAAAGGGCCACCCCGCAAAAACAAATTTTGGGCGCCTCCATATATATATATATATATATATATATATATATATATATATATATATATATATATATATATATATATAGGTGCCCTGTCAAAACAACCTGGGACAAATCGGCCCCGTCAAAACGGCCCCGTTAATATGACCCCGTCAAATCGACTCCCGACAAACCGTGGGGCGCCGTGATTTTCTTACAGTTTCTAATACTGTTGACTCTCTACAAGCTCCCTAATAAAAGTCAATAGTATTATCTAATCAATAGTAATATAACTTTTACTTCGGCGCCCCACGTTTTTCATCGCTTATAGTAGAGTGATCGCTTGCATTATTGTGATGTATAGCATTTATTTTCTACTTTTTAGTTCAATCAGAAAACGTGGGTTTTTAAAAACTTTTTTATTGATAATTATTTTCGAATTTATCAACCATTAGCTTTTGCCGACTCGACCATGCTTCCATCGCAATTAAAATAAGGATTACGTGTCAACTGGTTATGCGCCATTGAGGCCATTGACTCCGATTTCAGCCTGCTTTTCTTTTTGGATTTGTTTCCATAGCCTTTGTCCAACCAAGAACAAACTACAAGGCAGCAGTTGTTTGATTTAGGAGTTGTCTCTCCTAGAAGAGTGGCTGTCCCCAGCTAACGAGCATCATCTGCCCGAGGGTTAGAACTCGAGACTTTTTAGTTTAGCAACCATGAGCTTTACCACGCCGACCCCTGACTCAGTTCTAAAAATAGCGTTAAAACTACGTTTGAAATTGCCATCAAATCTGTAAATCTGTTTTACGTGTTACTAATTTCTAAAAATAGCGGTAAACTACGTTTGAAATTGCTAGGAATCCTGAAATTTTGTTTTACGTGTTCCTAATTTCTAAACAATGGCGGTAAGCTAATATTTAAGCAGGCTGTGAGCACTAGACTTTTTGACTTATTGTATGCACTGACGTAGTGCACATCGAAGCAGGGAGGTAATTTACCTCTCTGTAGCACAGCACAGTAAGTCTAACAATTATAGTGTTTCACTTCTATGTAGTACTGTTATTTACTTTATGTAGTACATAAGCGTTCTATTATGTAATACCGTAGTGTAAGTTATAACACTTGGTGAAGTATATTTTTTTCTAGTTTCGTGGAAATAGTCTAAAACCGAGTAAATTAGTTCAACAATCAACGTAGTATTTACAAAAAACAGCCAGTGCAAATAGTAATAAATAAATAGTAATAAACAATTTATATGTAGTTCATTGAAGTTTAGCCTTATTCTGGCGGATAACATACCTGCTAATGACTTGCCTGCTAATTACAGACTTACTAACAGTAACATTTACTAATGTTCTATAACATTAACAATATTCAGTGACATCGCTAGGTCGGTTCACCCGGTGCAGCACTTCGTGGTGCTAGCCCCCCCCCCCCTAGAAACAACATATATATATATATATATATATATATATATATATATATATATATATATATATATATATATATATATATATATATATATATATATATATAGCAAAGTGGTCAAGTGCCTCGGGGCGAAAGAACACGAGGGACGGTGACGGTTTGCCGAAAAGTCCACGAGGAGGGGGTTAAAACTGACCTCGACTGACCGGCGCCTTATATGGGCTATATTACGAAAAAAAAAATTCCTCCGACGACCCCCATTGAAATTTTGTGAGGTGGTAGGAGAACGCCTTGGGGTGTCATAAAAAACTCGCCATGTCCGGGAAAAATCGGGAAATAGGTCAAAACTGACCAATCGTATTTCCCTATATAATTTTTGTATTTTATGGGAAAAACAGAGGGTAATTTCAAAACGGATTTTATGGAACTTACCGTCTTTACATCTGGCTAATTTTTGGCATGCTTATAGGTCAATAGTTTGGCCGTAGGGCAGACTTGTCGGTTTGACTCAAAGCCCTCGACGAGGGCTAAAAGGTGCCCGCGAGTGAAATTCTCTTGATGTGAGCTCTATTACGAAAAAAAATTTCCTCCGATGACCCCCCTTGATATTTTGTGAGGTGGTAGGAGAACGCCTGGGGGTGTCACAAAAAACTCGCCATATCTGGGAAGACTTTGTAAAGGGGTCAAAACTGACCAGTTGTATTTCCCTATATAATCTTTGTATTTTATGGGGAAAACATAGGGTCATTTCAACGCAGACTTTAGGGTACTTAAACTCAGTATATCTGGCTAATTTTTTGCATACGTTTTGGTCAATGGCTTGACCTTTAGGAAAAACTGTCGGTTTGACTCAAAGCCCTCGACGAGGGCTAAAATGTGACCGCGAGTGAAATTCTCGTTATGTGAGCTATATTTACGAAAAAAAATGTCCTCAAACGACCCCCCTTGAAATTTTGTGAGGTGGTAGGAGAATGCCTGGGGGTGTCACAAAAAACTCGCCATGTCTGGGAAAAAATCGGGAAATGGGTCAAAACTGACCAGTCGTATTTCCCTATATAATCTTTGTATTTTATGGGAAAAACAGAGGGTGATTTCAAAACGGATTTGAGGGCACTTACCGTCTTTTCATCTGGCTAATTATTTGCATGCTCTTATGTAAATGGCTTGACCTTTAGGGAAAACTGTCGGTTTCACTCAAAGCCCTCGACGAGGGCTAAAAGGTGACCGCGAGTGAAATTCTCTTTATATGAGCTCTATTACGAAAAAAAATTTTCCTCCGACGACCCCCCTTGAAATTTTGTGAGGTGGTAGGAGAACGCCTTGGGGTGTCACAAAAAACTCGCCATGTCCGGGAAAAATTTGTTAAATGGATCAAAACTGACCAGTCGTATTTCCCTATATAATCTTTGTATTTTATGGGAAAAACAGAGGGTGATTTCAAAACGGATTTGATGGCACTTACCGTCTTTACATCTGGCTAATTTTTTGCATGCTCTTAGGTAAATGGCTCTACCTTTAGGGAAAACTGTCAGTTTCACCCAAAGCCCTCGATGAGGGCTAAAAAGTGATCGCGAGTGAAATTCTCTTTATACGAGATTTGGTCATTTGGTCTATGAACAGGGGAAGTAGCTTTTTAATGTAATAATTTTTAAATATTTTGTATTCTCTTTTCAAGAAAAAAACAAAAATCATAGAGTATAGCATTGTTTTAAATAAATATTTTGTTATAAATTAAGTTTTGCATTGTACTGAAATTGTAAAAATTAATTGCGAAAGCAATTTATTATAATACGAGCCGACCCGTGGCGTATCATACGCCGCTATTTAGTTGTTTTTTTCTACTTTTCAGTAATACATAATTTGACAGTACCAATGCTGCCACTGAAAATATTTGCTTTAAAACACTAAACCCCCATTTCCCTCCCCCCCCCCCCGTGAAAGCAGCCTCCTCTTAGTTACCTCCTCTAAGTTTAAAATAGTTTCAAACTGAATTATCTGCCCCAAATAGCCGTCACCAAACCCGACTCTACGATTGTTTTGTAAATATTTAGCTTGAACTACAACTCACCTGACCATGTGAGGGGGGTGGGGGTGGTAGCGATAGAGAGGAAGAGAGGGGACTGCAAAGGCGCGCTTGCAGCTTGCTTTCTAACTGATCCCAGAAGAGAATTATATATACGAGCCGACCCGCAGCGTATCATACGCCGCTATTTAGTTGTTTTATTTTCTACTTTTCAGTAATTCATAATTTGTAAATTCGACAGTACCAATGCTGCCACTGAAAATATTTGCTTTAAAACACTAACCCCCCCCCCCCCCCACTTCCCCTAACCCCGACCCTACACCCCCCCCCCCCCCGTGAAAGCAGCCTCCTCTTAGTTATTTCTTAGTTACCTCCTGTAAGTTTAAAATCGAACTAAATTATCTGCCCCTAATAGAAACCCGGCTGTACGGCTCTTCGATTTGTAAACATTTAGCTTTGTAAAAATTTAGAGTGAACACCGCTCACCAGACAATGTTGGGGTGGGGTGGGGGTGGTAGTGATAGTGATAGAGAGAAAGAGAGGGGACTGCAAGGAGGCGCTTGCAGCTTGTTTTCTAACTGATCCCAGAAGAGAATTATATATATATATAGATACGAGCCGACCCGCGGCGTATCATACGCCGCTATTTAGTTGATTTATTTTCTACTTTTCAGTAATTCATAATTTGTGAATTCGACAGTACCAATGCTGCCACTGAAAATATTTGCTTTAAAACACTGACCCCCCTCCTTTCCCCTAACCCCGACCCTACACCCTCCCCCCCCCCCCCCCCCCGTGAAAGCAGCCTCCTCTTAGTTACCTCCTGCAAGTTTAAAGTCGGTTCAAACTAAATTATCTGCCCCTAATAGCCGTCACTAAACCTGGCTGTACGGTTTGTAAACATTAACGTGACCACAGCTCAGCAGACCATGTGGGGGTGGGGTAGGGTGGTAGTGATAGTGATAGAGAGAAAGAGAGGGGACTGTAAGGAGGCGCCTGCAGCTTGTTTTCTAATGGCTCGCAGAGGAGAATTATATATATAGATAGATTTGATTGATACTATTGAGAAACCCCTTGCAGTTCTAATAACCGAGCGAGTAATAAGTTTGCGAATATTCCATCACTATTGGGGTTGATACAGAGAAGATTAGCATGGCCCTCGCGCAGAGATGACACGCAGAATCGTGAAGCATTTCCAAATTTAAGCATTTAAGATAGCAGCCAATCACCTATTAATTAATTATTCAATTCCTCATTTTTTTTGAAAACCTAAGCGAAGCTAGGCAGTATGCCTAGTATATATATATATATATATATATATATATATATATATATATATATATATATATATATATATAAATTTGTGTGTATGTGTCGGCCTACATAGGTCTATAATTTAAATACATGCCGCATACGTGTACATGTATGTGTATAAGCTTAAATCACTGCAGTCTTAATAGTAACGATGTTTATCTATAGTCTGTTAATAATACAGTTGGATGTAGCATTGTTTTCTCTATAGTTAGTAGGTCTACGTCATGGTGTCACTACACCCTTTTGTAATAATTGTCGATTCTACTTTAAACACTATTTAACTTTAATTACTTTAATTAATCATTAATAAAAAACATTTTACTTCTGTACATTTTGGAATTTTTTGCCTTGGTGTAACCCCCCCCCCCAAATGGTGTCACCCGCTGCGGTCCGCTCCCCCCGCCCTGCCCTCGCTACGCATCTGACAATACTACTTGGAAACCTTTAAAACGCACGACTTCCATCCCCATTGTTTTACGGACAATTTTAAACAGCAGTAAAAAAAATAACTGCCACGTCAAATAAAACTTTTGGTATTCCCAATTCTACGCAGTGAAATCGTGGACTAATATCTTGACGATTATAGAGAAACCAGATAATAATGTGTCATTTGTTGTGAATTTTGACTATGTAACTAAGCACTAATAAAGCAATCCATAGGTAAGTGTATTTGTTGGTTTAAAATATAAATACAGATAGCGAAGCGATAAGTCGTGTAATGACTAAGAAGTAGCATAGTTTCTTCCAGACTTTTTTCTCGGGGGGGGGGGGGGTAGCACTCAAAGTAGTTCATTAAAGTTTAGCCTGATTCTGGCGGATAATATACCTGCTAATGACTTACCTGCTAAATACAGGCATGTTAATAACTTACTAACTAATGTTACACAACATTAATTATACTACTTGGACAGTGTTGTCCCCCCGGAGGGGGGGGGTGTGGGTTCAAATTCTTTTCAGCATTTTATATTATATATATTTAAAAATATTATAAATCTGCAGCTACTATAAATATTAAAAAAATACTTTCTTTAAATATATTAATGCACTACTATTTATATCACTATAAATAAAAGCGTGGGCCGATTGTTTAAATACTTATAGCCCACGCTTTTCTTCTTTTTAGTGCATTTATAAAAGCTTGTAATTATAAACGTTTTTATGTATTTATTATTTTTATACTTTGTAGTATTAACGAGTTATACGCATGTTAAGACAATATAGTGCAGCAACAAATACAATGATACACAACTGTAACTGGTTGAACGGGCTCAAATTCCCGTGAGGCGGGTGTAGGTGTGACTTTCGTTGGTTAATGTGATGACGCACTAATCTCATCTCAACGCTGGTTGAGACATCCACGTCCGTAGAGTGGTTATACGATGCAACGAAGCTGGGCTGATGCGATGGAGAACAATGACGTAACATTCCGTCGCTTGGAACTTCCAGCGCCGGTTAATTATTTAAATAGCAGAACATTATTGTATATTTAACGTATTTTTTTTTGCTTTTTATTACATAATGTAATATGGGATTCCCTAAATGGCGTGCCCCCCCCCCCCCACCGCATTGCGGGGTCTGGCGGCACTGTATTTCTGCACCTGCGTGTTACTCATTTCTAAAAAAAAATTTCCACTGAAATTGCCAGTGATTTCCGTTATACTACATTCTAAAAATAGCTAGCTAAATTTTCTCACTCAAAAACATATTTAAGCAAGCTGTGAGCACTAGACTGTTTGACTTCTTGTATGCAGTGACCTAGTGCGCATCTAAGCAGGGAGGTAATTTACCTCTCTGTAGCACAGCACAGTAAGTCTAACAATTATAGTGTTGTACTTCTATGTAGTACTGTTATTTACTTTATATAGTACATAAGCGTACTATTATGTAGTACCGTAGTGTAATTTATAACACTCGGTGAAGTATATTATTTCCCAGTTTCGTGGAAATAGTCTAAAACCGAGTAAATTAGTTCAACAATCAACGTAGTATTTACAAAAAAACAGCCAGTGCAAATAGTAATAAATAAATAGTAATAAACAATTTATATGTAGTTCATTGAAGTTTAGCCTTATTCTGGCGGATAACATACCTGCTAATGACTTGCCTGCTAATTACAGACTTACTAACAGTAACATTTACTAATGTTCCATAACATTAACAATACTCCGTGTGGTCGCTAGGTCGGTTCACCCGGTGCGGCACTTCGTGGTGCTACTCCCCTAGAAACAAAGTTTATATATATATATATATATATATATATATATATATATATATATATATATATATATATATATATATATATATATATATATATATATATATATTTGTTTGTGTGTGTCGGCCTACATAGGTCTATAATTTAAATATATGCCGCATACGTGTACATGTATGTGTATAAGCTTAAATCACTGCAGTCTTAATAGTAACGATGTTTATCTATAGTCTGTTAATAATACCAGGGGCGGAACTACAGTGCCGCCAGACCCCGCAATGCGGGGGGGCCCACGCCATTTAGGGGCCCACGGCCGACCCTAATAGTTTTTATTATAGTTAAAAAAATCTAATTTTCTTGCAATTTTTTACTTGATGTTTGTTTTGTAAAACGATTACCATAGCTGCGGTTTGATTATCTTTATTCTATAGACACCATCCCCACGCTCTTTTATATTCTTTTTCCCTTTCTTTTTGAACCACTGTGAAAGCCAAGTTCTCTCTCTTCTACAATTAAACTTAACAAAGATAAGCAAACATTCAAACCACTTCCATGACTTATTTCCCTTTTTTAAATAGTCAAATTGGGGTGCTCATAAGCTCCTTTTAATAGATTTGTACTAAACAAATTAAAAAGCAATTACTTCTCTTACTAAATATTTTTTCATAAAGTAGGCTACTTACTAAAGAATGACCTTGTATAAAAAGGAAATGTATTTAAAATTAATAATATAAATACAAAAAAAAAAAAAAATAATCATAACACGAGACACCATTACTTCTACAAAGATTTCATGTTTTATATTCTTTTGGCTAGATAGATGTTAAGAGAACTCAAAGCAAATAAAATAAAACTGTTTTTCTAAAACACACTAATGCACTTACACACATGAAATTATGTAGTAATTTGTTTCAATTGAAAAAAAAAAACCATTTTTTTCAAAACCCGAACAGGCCAGCAATGAGTAACCTATGCTCTTAGTATATATGTATATATATATATATATATATATATATATATATATATATATATATATATATATATATATATATATATATATATATATATATGGGGGGGGGCCTAAAAATTTTTTTTGCGGGGTGGCCATTTTTTTCTAGTTCCGCCACTGAATAATACAGTTGGATGTAGCATTGTTTTCTCTATAGTTAGTAGGTCTACGTCATGGTGTCACTCCACCCTTTTGTAATAATTGTCGATTCTACTTTAAACACTATTTAACTTTAATTACTTTAATTAATCATTAATAAAAAACATTTTACTTCTGTACATTTTGGAATTTTTTGCCTTGGTGTAACCCCCCCCCCCCCAAATGGTGTCACCCGCTGCGGTCCGCTCCCCCCGCCCTGCCCTCGCTACGCATCTGACAATACTACTTGGAAACCTTTAAAACGCACGACTTCCATCCCCATTGTTTTACGGACAATTTTAAACAGCAGTAAAAAAAATAACTGCCACGTCAAATAAAACTTTTGGTATTCCCAATTCTACGCAGTGAAATCGTGGACTAATATCTTGACGATTATAGAGAAACCAGATAATAATGTGTCATTTGTTGTGAATTTTGACTATGTAACTAAGCACTAATAAAGCAATCCATAGGTAAGTGTATTTGTTGGTTTAAAATATAAATACAGATAGCGAAGCGATAAGTCGTGTAATGACTAAGAAGTAGCATAGTTTCTTCCAGACTTTTTTCCCGGGGGGGGGGGGGGTAGCACTCAAAGTAGTTCATTAAAGTTTAGCCTGATTCTGGCGGATAATATACCTGCTAATGACTTACCTGCTAAATACAGGCATGTTAATAACTTACTAACTAATGTTACACAACATTAATTATACTACTTGGACAGTGTTGTCCCCCCGGAGGGGGGGGGGGGGGTGTGGGTTCAAATTCTTTTCAGCATTTTATATTATATATATTTAAAAATATTATAAATCTGCAGCTACTATAAATATTAAAAAAATACTTTCTTTAAATATATTAATGCACTACTATTTATATCACTATAAATAAAAGCGTGGGCCGATTGTTTAAATACTTATAGCCCACGCTTTTCTTCTTTTTAGTGCATTTATAAAAGCTTGTAATTATAAACGTTTTTATGTATTTATTATTTTTATACTTTGTAGTATTAACGAGTTATACGCATGTTAAGACAATATAGTGCAGCAACAAATACAATGATACACAACTGTAACTGGTTGAACGGGCTCAAATTCCCGTGAGGCGGGTGTAGGTGTGACTTTCGTTGGTTAATGTGATGACGCACTAATCTCATCTCAACGCTGGTTGAGACATCCACGTCCGTAGAGTGGTTATACGATGCAACGAAGCTGGGCTGATGCGATGGAGAACAATGACGTAACATTCCGTCGCTTGGAACTTCCAGCGCCGGTTAATTATTTAAATAGCAGAACATTATTGTATATTTAACGTATTTTTTTTTGCTTTTTATTACATAATGTAATATGGGATTCCCTAAATGGCGTGCCCCCCCCCCCCCCCACCGCATTGCGGGGTCTGGCGGCACTGTATTTCTGCACCTGCGTGTTACTCATTTCTAAAAAAAAATTTCCACTGAAATTGCCAGTGATTTCCGTTATACTACATTCTAAAAATAGCTAGCTAAATTTTCTCACTCAAAAACATATTTAAG